TACAGAGTCAGCATATTGCCCCCAACAATCTGGGTTCTCATTTTACCCAACCTCAGAAGGATGGAAGGCTGAGTCAAACTTGAGTCAGTCAGGATCGAACTCCTGGCAGTTGGCACACTCAGTCTGCAATACTACATTCTAACCATTGTACCACCATGGCTCATAGCCAAGTCTACTTGCCTTTATGATGTGATTCTCAAATGTTTGGCCATAATTAATCATGCGATTTATTATTAAATGAATAAAGACCCAGTAAAGGTGATAATTGATTACCACTGAAGGAGGAGGGGCACATATGTTGCTATAAAGGGCTTATCTCATCTCATACCTTCCAACCAAAATTTTGCCTCCAAGCCCCTAGAACAGAGGTGGGGAATTATGGCCCCTTTATGACTTGTGAACTTTAACTCTTCCATACTGGCTCAAGAATTCTGGAAGTTGAAGTCCACAGGTCATAAAAGACCGTAGTTTCCCATCCCTGCCCTAGAACAACTTTTCATCACTTGAGGCTTTCCAGTGAAATTGGCTGGGAATTGTACATATTGTAATCTTGAGCATGTCAGGAGGACGTAAGATTGAAGAAGTTGCCTTGAAAGTCAGGTTGGAACGGATGGCCATCAACAACGTAGGAACAATTTTCATTATTCTGTTTGGGGTTTCATTTCCATCATCCCAACCAAGAGAACCCTAGTTCAGAGCCTCCAAAGAGGAGTAGTTTTCCTAACCTTGAATTAGGAACTGTGGCCTTCCTCCAAGAAACTTTCGGGGTAGAGAGTTAAATTAATAGAATGCTACAAATTTGGGATCTTATATCTACTAGTAGTTCCAAATGCTGGGAAGAAGGTGCTTATTTCTGCTTGAAAGAGGCTTAAATATTGGACTTTCTGTACCCTTTCCTTTAAAATGAAACAGACCTGGCAATGGATTAAACAATTGTGCAAAATATACACTATGAACCTGCTAATGGTTTTGGATACTTACTTTCTAAATACTCCATATGTATCAGAGTTCCATAGAAGACAATAGCAGAACAGGAATCATCTGTAGTTATTTTCCCTGAAGGCAGATACTGTGGTCCAAATGATAGGCCCTGCATTTGAAAGGGTCCTTGAAAAATGTATAGATTTAGTACATCAAACACCCCTCCAAACACACATTATCCTCAAAGATACCTACTTTTGCTGGGCATAGTGGCCACTGAACCTGTACTTTAGGATTTACTAGCTTTTGGGTAGTACCCTAAAACTCTAAACAATTGGAAATCCAAAAGGACTCAATCAGTAGATGTGGAAAGAGCCCTTCAGAATAAAAACGTGCATTAAAACAATGGCTTTATTCTGGAGAAGATCTGTCTATATGGTTGCTAAGAATTCAGCAAAGTGTTGGCACATAATTAACAGTAGCATCCTCAAGGAATTATCTATTTCTCTCAGAAGCAAGTTTAAACATAGCCATTCAGCCAAGGCACAGTATTTTGTCTTTTTAAGATTATTATTACTTCCAGGGACATTTCCAGCATTATCCACACAAAAAGGGTCTTAGGGCTTAATTTTGTTTTAAGGGGAAGTATAGTATTCTGCAGCTTCCTTTAAGAGCTTTTACAAACTCCCAAGAAAAAAACTTTCAAAAGCTCAGACTTTTTTCAGTGAACATCCGACTTGATGCTTAGGTCACAAAGGGCTAGGGTTATTTAGAGGGATAGCTTTGGTTTCTGTGTCTGAGAAGGCTAACCTCTCCTCATAAACCCAGCGTCTGATGTCATCCAATTACAGTAAGCTCACCTACAGGAAATGAAGATTTAAGAAAAGGAAGGCCTTTTGACATGTCCTGTGGAGAAGAGCATTGTGTGTTTTAAAAGTGGCTTTAGTTTTATGGAAGAACTCCATTGAAGTTGGTGGGTTGCACTGTCATGTAGAACAGATTTTGTTTTTTTTACATTTTCCTGCAAGTGAGTTTCCTCCCATTTTCCCCTCAGTTTGCTCATTTGTTTTTGTTTTTTACAGACTACACAAAAGTGCACACACATCTTGCTGTGTACCTCCACTTTAACATTACTTATATGTGTATGCTGCCCCACTCCAAGATAACTTTAAAAAGTAGCCATGAGGGTCAACTTTCATTTTATACACACAGTAACACTGTGAAGTGGGTTGAGCAGAGAAAAAGTGGATGAGCCTGAGGCTTTGGTCTCAATTCAGTCCCTTAGTCACTGTTTATTATACTGGTTCCTGTGGCATATTAATCATTCATGACCTGGAGATAGGCTATGTTGATGGACTATGTTAGAAGGCAGCAACTTTTTGATGGCCTGAGATCACATTCATTCATTCATTCACTTCCTTCCTTCCTTCCCTCCCTCCCTCCACCAGAAATGCAGTGAATGAAACAAGAAAGCTAAAATGGCAGGGATAGAATTTTTGGAGATCTCTGGAAGACGGGAGAATTTGGGATATTTTCTTCTCCGCCAATGTTAAGCTATATTACGGGTTACTCTTACAGCCACGGAGAGTTTCTTATCTCAGATTGGCAGGGAATTCTATTTGGTGACGCTATAAGTTGCCAGAAAGTGATTTGCCCACTCTTTTCTTAGTTCTGTAATATATACTTAATAGTAATTTAAAACTTAAGTCTAAAACATGGTGCTGATTGGTGTGCAATTTCACCCAGTCAATTTTCTCCCATTAGCTTGTTTTAAACTAGCTAAGGCACCATATCAGTCACTATCACATTTCAGTATTGTTCTAAAGCACACACTATTCAGCTTATTCCTGCTCAGTGTGTTCCTGGTTACAGTTTACAGCTGCCATATGTACGTGTGGGGGCTGTTGAGGGGGGGGAAGAGAAATAAATCAAAACATACTTGCAATGAAAGTTAGGAAAGTATAGTCACTGCCCCCTTGTGTTTTGTTTTGTTTTTCAAATTTACCAGAGCAGTTTCCTTCTGTGCACTTGGTTTGGTTACTGCTATCTTCTGAGGATAACTAATTCTCTATTCAGTAGCGAAACCTTTGCTGTAATTTCAAGGGAAGTGAACAGCAAAGGATCGGTGGTCTTTCAGCTCTCACTGTGGTGAGATGCAGCGATGGCAATCACCCAAAAGATGCTTGGGAATGGCTTCTCATCCAAAGATCTCATGGGGAGATTAAGGACCGAGATTTTTATTGGTGGATACTCTGTATGTGTGGATTCTTCTCCTTGCACACCCAGCTACTTTTGCTTAGGCTCACTTTAGGAATTGAACATAGTTGACCCAACTCTTTGATTTTGTCCTCAGCATGAAAATATTGCACTTTCTTCACTGGTGCGACTAATCAAGGATCCTCAAATGAAGAACCCTTTAACTCAGTTGCTGTTTAGCAACTGAGTTAAAGGGTTCTTCATTTGAGGATCAGGAAAAACCAAGGAGCACTTGCTAATTGCCAACTTTCATTGTTTACGCGTACAACAGATAATAAAGTAGGAGATAATCTGAGATAGATCCCAATAGAGAATAAATGGTGATGTTTACTACCTTTGACAGTTCTCCCTCCCTCCTTTACTCTTTCTACTTCCTACACGCACATAATAAAGGAAGTACAGCCGGGGTGAAATTCAAGGAGAGGTGGTAGGGACAATTTGAATCAGTTGGCCCCGCCCACACCCACCCGCCTTCTTCCTTTTAGAGACTGAGTCCCACCAAGCCACGCCCACAGAGCCGGTAGGGAAATTTTTTTGAATTTCACACCTATTACAGTCTTAGGAGTCAAGACCATTGTGATAATAATGTCTCTGCTGCCCCCCCCTCCAAGGAAGATTTCTTTCCCTGATGTAGTGTTGATACTGGATCAAAAGATTGTTATTTTCCCATGCTTCTTAAAGATGAATTGTTTGCTATTTTGATTTGTTCCACTTAATTCGTTTTGTTTTGGTTATCATGTAATACATGCGGCTGTTCAAACAGAGGTTGGACTAAAATAATAAAACCAGGCTCCAAAATTATAACAATGAAGCATAATTCTTCTGCACTGATTCATATATAATCTTTTTCTGAGCACCAGCAGATTGTTGGAAAAGTGCAGTCTCAAACTTTACTTAGTTACTGAAAGCTCCCTTCACTTGATGTTCCATCAAAGTTTCATCCTTCCATCCCCTTAAGCCATGCAGCTATTAGTCTTAATCATCCATGATGACATCCTATCTTTTGCCCAGGAAAGTTCTAGAAAAAAATCACATTAGCTTGTAAAATGTATGTATATGTGTGTGTATGTATGTATCTATTGCATTTATATGCTGTCTGTCTCACTATCCAGAGTAACTCTGAGCTGTTTACAATAAAATCATAAACATAGAACATTAACAGGAATTATATAAAAAGCTAGAAAACTAAGAGCAAGAGCAGAATGGTGGCAGATTCTTTCCTATTAATCCACTAGTCATCTAGATCAGGGGTCTCCAACCTTGGCAACTTTAAGACTTGTGGACTTCGACTCCCAGAATTCCTCAGCCAGCAGCAGCAGCATTCTTCAGCAGCTGGCTGAGGAATTCTGGGAGTTGAAGTCCACAAGTCTTAAAGTTGCCAAGGTTGGAGACCCCTGATCTAGAGCATTTCGTGTTCTCATCATGGCCCTAAGCCAATTGGAAGTGCCAGGTTTTAATGCCCATCCAAAAGCCAAAAGGGTGGGGGCAGATCTCACCTCCCAGCGGTAAGATATTTCAAAGTGAGGGGATCATGGTAGAAAAGGCTCTTCTCTTAGACCAAACTTGGCAACTTTAAGACTTGTGGACTTCAACTCCCAGAATTCTCAGAATCCCATGACTGGCTGAGGAATGAAATCTAAAAGTCTTTGGAGACTCCTGTCCTAGACTGTGCTAGCTAACTGGGCCCATAGAATGCTCCTTTCCCCAAACTAATTCGGACTCTTAACCATTATGAAAGACAACATATTGATAGCATTAATGAATGGATTTCAACATCAACTGCTTGAGCAACAGGTAGTAATGACTCAGATTTGTTATTCTAAAAGAATAATTGCAAGTATGCTAAGTATCTGTGGGTAACATTTGTGGACTAGTACTGATCTGGCAGTTGGCTCACCTATGATCCTCTGAAAAGTTATCTTACTCTGTGGTGTTTTGTGATATACAATTATTTTAATTCTACTATGTGGTATCAACATCTGTGGTAGCAGATGTTATTGTTTTTGCTATAACAGAATATTACCTGCTTTCAGGAAATCACATCTTCTTCAGCAGTGTTTGTTCAGTAGGGGCAGTCTTGACTATGAAGTCAGTGGAGGCTGCTTTGTATTTGCTTATATGCTACTGGGATGTCCACTGTATATTAGCCCCAAGGCCCAAATAAGAATGGGTGAATCTGTCAATCTTTCCTCCCTCCACAATTTAAGACAATTTCTTCTCATTTCACATAAAATCTGATTCATTTTTACACATGGTTCACAGATTATCTCTAGAGATATCGTGCAATTTCCAATTTCTACTTATATCATCATGTTGGGATGATGTCTCTTTTACAATCCCTTGCCTGCCAGGCTGAACGAAATCATGTATTAGGAGAGCCAAGCAAAATAGTCTTAGAAACAAACATACATTATCATCCATATCCAACCCTTAAGGATCTTTCCATAGAAAGAGAGAAAGCAACGAATCAAATCTTCAATCTGGGACCATGAATTCTGTGGTATTGTCCATGACTCACTGCTCATAGCGTAGAATGAAATATTGTAGGAGTATAACCCTGTCAAGGAAGTCATAATAATGAGGTAGATAGCTTTCTGGTGATCTGTTTCCAACTTGCTAAGTCATGCAAATAGATCCAGTCTCTCAGCTTTTCATCCTGATTTAACAAGGCATATTTACATCGTAGATGAGGGAAACAATGATTGCAGTAATGATTTCCATGCCTTCTGATTCTTCAGCACTTTGAAGGACAAGCTAACTAGGGATTTATTATCCTTCAGACAGGTGTATTTGTATTAATACAGGCTTTCTGAATCTGAGCGATTCCTAAAGGAAGCTGAGTGATTGTCTGGAGAAGAATGGACAGGCTTCCTGGCAGAAGCATCATTATGCCTTTAAGGAAATGGCTTTGTATAATTTTCAGAGCTTGGATGAAATTACTGTTCTATCACAGGTAGCTCCATAAAGTAGCTGCCTTAACACCTGGAGCTGGGCGAGACTTTCCATAGAAAGTCTTACCTTTCATATAATAAAGTATATTACTGTTGCTGAGTGTAGAAATGTGTTTAAGGACGATATTGTTTCTTTCCAGAAAAGTCCTTGTATTTAAGATGCTTACATTTTTAATGGCAGAATCTTGGACACTGGTCATCTTTCAAAAGTCATATTTTTTTGATGTTGCATGCATGGTATTTTTATTGACCAAATATAGATAGTACTCTTTTCAACCTATTCTTTTGTTGAAAAAGCTTGTATGTGTCTGTAAAACCTCTCTTATATATTTTGAAATAAATTTTCCTTATTGCTATTACTGTTGTTGTTATTAGTGTATGGCATGGTTACATTAGCCAGGAGACTACAGTACTTATGCAGAATAGATGTTTGGCTGACGATTTACTAGCTCTGTTGTGGTACCCACTTGCTTGTACACTTCCCAAAGTATAGCAATAGCAATAGCACTTACTTATATACCACTTCATAGTGCTTTACAGCCCTCTCTGAACAGTTTACAGAGTCGGCATATTGCCCCCAACAATCTGGCTCCTCATTTTACCCACCTCGGAAGGATGAAAGGCTGAGTAAACCTTGAGCCGGTCAGACTTGAACTGCCGAATTGCTGGCAGCCGATAGTCAGCGGAAGTAGCCTGCAGGATTGCATTCTAACCACTGTGCTACTGCAGCTACCACAGGAAGGCAAGCTAACTTCACAGCAGAAAGAATGACCAGGGGCTTTTCCTGCAGCACCATCCAAGCCACCCCACTTCCTCCACCAGAGCTGCCTTGCAAATGGGCACCACAAATGGGAAGGTTCAAAGCTGGCAGGAATCTGACTGCCTGTACAGAGCTTTGTCTCCTCACCAAAAGGGGTACCTGTTTATCTATTCACATAGACCATACTTTCAAACTATTAGGTGGGGAGAACCTGAGGCAAGTGGAAGGAGCTCACCCCGCCACAGTGCTAGGGCCCGAACCGCTACAGCAGAGACCATTTCTAGCATCATTAAGCTACTGAGTCACCACACCTCCAATTTTCCCTATTATAATGTATATTTGTGTATGATTTTCACCCAATAGGGAAAGTTCTTCTGCATGTATTCCTGCAATATTATTATTGTATATTTTGAGAGGAGGGCTTAAAAATTACTTTAAAAGGTAACAAAACCATGAAGAACAGCTACCTTTTGATTTATGGTAAAGATATGAGAAATTTGAGCCAGATACATTCTTATTATAAGCTAAACCAATTTCCCCCCAATTGGTATTCTCAAAAATTCCTGAAATAAAGATTCCCTTTCTCCTCACAGAGATGGTAAGACAAAAGAAAGTTGCCTGACTTCATTACTACAATCAGTGAATCAAAATCATTTTAAAAGCAAATTATTTGCTGAAAAACTCTAGTCTTCTTTTCTTATATACAAAAAAACTTTCCAAGCAGTGCAGTTGTATTTTTCTAAGGAATTCCTTGGGATTCCTCACCTCCATAGATCCTTTCAGTCAAGCTTAAAGCTTAAACTGATGATTCACAGTTGGAATCTATCCAGATTCTAAGCAGGCTAGGCTACCTCTGAGTTTGAGAACATCAGTCAAATGCTGCCACCTGCAGGTCTGGGAAATCAGATGACAAGGGGAAACAACATCAGAAGAGAAGTAAAGCAAGTTATTTCCATATTCTTGCCAAGAGAACAGTGGTGGGATTCACATTTTTTTTTACTACAGGTTCTGTGGGCGTGGCTTGGTGGGTGTGGCAGGGGAAGGATACTGTAATATCTCCAGTCAGCGGGGGTATTTGCCGCTTCTCTGAACTACTCAAAATTTCCACAACCATAACTGGTCAGAACTGGTCAGAACCAGTTCCTCCAGAACTAGTCAGAACCTGCTGAATACCCCCTCTGGAACAGTATGATTATTTCCATGTAGTCACCAGCTGAATTCTCATCTTAAATATCTTTTTCCATTCCTGAGCAACCTTCCAGAGGAATCTTATCTCCACTGGTCAAGTTCCTCTAACAAGGCGAAGACCAGATTCACTA